CACACCCTATGCATTCTTTCTTGACATCCCTGTACTAAATTTTTTATTCTAGCTTTGGTATTATTATACTGAAAAGTTTTCTACTGTTTATGTGAAATGAAAATTTGATTTGGTGTTCTATATTGGTAGCCATGTTGGTTGATAAGGTTATAGACTAGACCTTTCATGAAAAGGGTTTGATGGTTTCATGGATCTTTCTAAGTTAAAAATATATGGGGAGTAACATTTTTTAAGCAATATAAGTCACATAGTGATTTTGAAACAAAACATTTCCTAGGGAGATAAAAGCTTCCAATGATTTTGAAACTTCTGCTTTTGCTCTCTAGGTTTTTTTTCAAAGAACAAAACTATCCAAAAAAAAACAGTAAATAAATATCCCTGATATAAATTATCCAAACATACACACATTTTTAAATTGTTGTTATTGTTATTAGTTGCTGGCCATGGAGATTCCAACTTATAATGATCCCATGTGAGTAGAGCAAAATTGCTCCATAATTTCTATTTTATAAAAGTTTTTATCTTTACTGTGATTTGGCTGAAAGTCTACAGACAATTTAGTTTCCTGTAGGATTCGCAAGATGCTGACTTTTTGGAAAGAATTGTGAGGCTTTTCATCCAAGGTGCTTTTGGGCAGGTTTGAAATGCCAACCTTTTGGTTAGTAGTCCAGAAATTAACCCATTTGTGCCATCCGTGAACTCCTCACACATGCTTAGCTGAGTCATTTCAGATTTGGTAAATGGCTACCAGTTGATGAGAAGAAATATAGTGGAAACTTAGGTGTACAGATGTTGATTCCATTCCATTGCTCTGATTGTGGGGTTTGGTCTTCACAATAGAAACATTAAGGATGATTGTTATCGATAAGAGTGTGATAAATTTAAGGCCAGAGAGATTCCTTCTCCAGAGTTTCCCAGAGAAACTCCTCCTGCTTCATGAGCCAGTCCTTTTTTTCTCAATGAGGGCTGCAGGGGATGGGGGGAACATGAATTTTCTTTTGGTGTGTCAAGGAGATACAGATTCTGTTGCCTATGGAGGGCAAAGTTAGGGGCAATATCTCTGTGCAGGTCCCTAACTTTAGCCTCCTGATCAAGTTGCCTTATTCAGCTTAAGTCCTTTGTAGAGTATGAAATGTAAAACAAGAAAGGGCAGCCACAGGGGGAAAAAAGAGTGCTGGGTGGGGCTGTAGAGGGAGAGTTTACTGCAGTGTGAGGGATTAAACAAATGACATGTAAATAGTGGAATTCCATGCAATGAGCTCTCACAAACTGAGGTTCATCTAGTCTTTCAATTTTTTCTCAAGTAGAGATTGGAAATTACTAAATCTAAAGCAGCATACACTGATCTTTCTATGTACTGCACTGTTTGTTAAATATCTGCTATCCAGGACCTCTTTGAAGTCCTAAAAAGCATAGATGTCAGTTTGAAGATCAAGATGCATCTAATACAAGCCATGGTCTTTTCCAGTGATTCCTATGCATTAGAAAGTTGGGTAATGAATAAAGAAGACCAGATAAGAATCATTCCCTTTGAATTGTGGTGTCAGAGAAGAGCATTGAGTATACCAGGAACTGCCAAAGCCACAAACAGCTCTGTTGTGCAGGAAGTACCACCAGGAAGCTCCTTAGAGACAAGGACAGTGAAACTTCACTTCACATACTTTGGGCATGTTAATCAGGCGGCTCCAGAACCTGGAAAAAGACATTATGCTCAGAAAGGAGGAGGGTCAGTGAACGAGAGGAAGACCCTCAAACAAGATAGATTGACATCGTGGCTGTAACAATGGGCATGTCAGAGGTGGTGAGGAACTCCAAATAGCGTAAGGTTCAGATGTGTTGTTCGTAGAGTCACTATGAATTTTAGTTGCCTGATAGTACCTAACATTAACAATAAATAGCATCTCATTAGTTATTTTCTTCCTGCCACCTGCCACTTTGCAATTTCCTTATTTTTTTGTTTACTTATTATTTTTGTTCATTTTTATTGTTTACTTATTTCCTCTCTACCTCTCATCTAGAAGAAATGTTCTGTGCCTTATTCATTGTGAAATCCAGTACTCTGATTCAGTGCCACCCTAATTATTTGTTGAATAAGTAAGTCGATACCCCTGCATTCCAGAATAGTGAGGGCTGATGTCAAGCTTCAAGTTGTCACTCGTGATTGCTTTAAAGAAAACAGAGTAGAGAAGACTTACTATATTTTATGGTAGCAAATAGTCAACTGACCTTGGCAGTGAAATCGTAGTTGGATTATAAATGCCACAAGGGATGGACTAGACATGACCTGTTTAAGCAGTGGTTGCATATCCAGTTTCTAGGACATTTTTAAGTCTGACACAGAGAAGGTCAAATAAGCCCATATATGTATGAGGATTCCAGTCATCAGGTAGTACCACAGGTTAATGTGCTTGGCTGCTAACAGCAAGGTTGTAGTCCACCCCGACAACTCAGATGAAAGGCTTGGTGATCTAGTTTTAAAAAATCATCCAGTGAAAAAGCCATTGAGCACAATTCTGGCCTGATATGTATGGGTCACCTTAAGTGAGAATTGACTAGCTAACAAACGGTTGGTTGAAGGTGCTACGGTACCTTTCCGATGCATCACTGCCCAACTTGATCACTATTTGACTCTCTGCTGTATCCACGGAGTTCCTGAATCCGTGATCGCTGGAGTGGATGAGAGCCACGTTGGAAGAAACAACGACAGGAGAGAAGGTCTTTAACAGAATAATTTTGTAAAAGGATAGCTAACCCAAGTGCCAGCGTACCGGCTGCCCTGGCTCCGTCTCTCTTTGTATTCTTTGGATAAGAGCAGCTCGCAGATCACATCCTGTTCCCAGACTGGTGAAAAGCAAGCTAAGAGCTGGTGAGCTCATCTCAGTTTTTGCCCCCCTCTTCTCTGACTGCTCCAAGTGAAAAATCAGTTCGTTCTAATAATTAGAATTTATTGTAAAACTAAATAATTGTTTGTCCAATTTTGTGGCGGTTTTATCTGATATGTAATCTGCCCCTGGGGATCATGGGGCTGGTTGATAAGTGCTGTGGTTTACCAGAAACGCTGCTGGGGTTTCAAGCTGGGAAAGCCAGCCAGAGTCCAGGAGGAGACGAGGAGGATGCAGGGAGGGGCAGCCAGCTTGAACGGAGATGAACTGGGCTCTTGGAGAGGCGCAGTGTCCAATGGGTGCTGGGCATTTTATTAGGTGCCAAACAGGCTCTCTGCCTTCAGCAGTTTTAAAGGTGGCTCCTTCAGCTTTTTAGCCTCACCTTTAGACTGCTGCTCCTGTCTTCCACCAGAATCTAACAGGCAGGGTGAGGAACTTGATATGCAGAAGCTGTGTTGTT